GTGCCGCGCATACTTCAGTACCTCGTGCAGCAAGACTAACACGGTATCGGCCAATAACTTGGTCTGCAATTCCTTGGCTACTTCTGTTGGCTTCGCATGATACACCGGTTAGCAGACTGGTTTACAGGCAACACACAGTCCTTTCCCCTCCTGCAGGCCTGCTCCACTCGTGAGGTACCAGTAGGACACACGACCTGACACTGGTTGCTGCGCTCCGCCCACTCATCTCGACGACAGGCTATCGTACATGATCGCAGTTAGCAATACAGGTGAGCTCAACCTTACTCTCCCACTGGCTCCGCCCCGTGGCCAGTACGAGAAGGTGGACTACAACCCCTATGAGGGTCGGTATCGTTCGAAAGGCTATCACCGTTGGACCACAGTCCCGTCGGCTTTGAGCGATACAACGGACAACTCGATCAGGCACAATCGAGCGCAGGAGAGAACTGAGGAAGGCCCTTCCGAATGGCCGGGCCCTGAGCACATTCGATTGGTATGGTAGCCGTACTGCCGCCCGTAATCGCGGGGGGCGTTCGCTCCTGCTTGGTAAGTATCCGACCTCTTCCTTACTTCTGTGCCCCCTCTCCGACTCTTACCATCCCTCTCTCGTTCCCCCACGCCTGCACTCGCTCGTTGCCTCCTAGTGATAACCTGATCAGCGCAGTCAACACCTTGCTTCATGTAATGCACCCGGCCACTCCTCAGGCCAGGTTCAAACCAAACTCACACTGACGAAGTCTTACAAAAGGAGGCTAAATCAGCAGCTCGAGTCGGCGACTTCCGTAATTCACTACTACAACCAGCGTCGGGCTGCGAACTGCACCGCGACGATCACTACGAAAACGATCGTTCCAGTCGAGCCCAGCAACATAGCTCAGTTCGTTATGGGAGCGCGGTGATCAGCCCCACAGCCACGAGGGGCAACAGTATCCTGCCTCCCTCCGGCCATAGTTCGTGCAACCCACTTCTGCTCCCCTTTCTCCGTCTCTGAATGCATCCCGTCCCGTTCCTCGTCCACATTCACTCACCCAGCGCCGGTTACCCCGCTTCCCCCGACTCACTCCCTCCCTGTCTCGCCCCCGTGGTCGTCACTATCCCTCCACCCGTCACCCCTACTCCCGTCACTCTGCTACCTCTGACTCTCAGCCCGTATGCACCTGGCTGGGAAACCCCGCCGGGTTCATCCCACTCCCCACTACCTGTCTTCACCCGCCTCCTAATGCTCCGCGCCTTCTTCCCGCATTGCGCTCCTCTGTCCCTCGTCTTAGCGCCTGCTTTCGCTGCGCCCACTGCCCTACCTCATCCTCCCCACCATCTCCGAACGCACCTCACCACGGAACCCGTCCGGGTTCCTCCCCGATAGCCTTTAGCGCAAAGCACCTTCTCCCCGATTACCGCTGTGCCGTGATCACCAACAACCCGCATACCGCGGTCTCTAGTCAGCGCGGCATCCAATCGTCTCGGCAGCGAGACAAAACAAGCTAATGACAAAATTTCTTCAACTTATGCCCGCCTCCCCTGTGCAGGAGCCACACTACTCCCCTCTGCATCGTTCCAATCTTTTCAAACGTCCCGAAGGACTTCACACCGACCGACACCCCCTCCTTCGTATGCACCCGACGCAACCTACGTCCGGATTTGCTGCGAATCTTCACGCCCCAATCTCATACTGGTGTCCCAACGAGTCGGACCGGGGCGATGCCCCGCGGCTGCGCCAAAAGTCGCCCGGTCTATTTACCCCTCTGACCACCTGGCACCCGCCCCTAACCCGGTTCGCGTCCGGGTTCACTCCCTGACTTTGGCACGTATCTTTCCTTCCCACAGCAGTCGGACGGAACTCCCCCGTATCGTCCGAAATCTTTTCTCCCCTTTTCCCGAGGGGCTTCGGCCAGGACCACACCCCACAACCCCTCGCCGCCTGCTGGAGGCTTCAGCGCCGTCGGCCTTACGACGCCTGGGCGCGGATCCGGCCCTCTTTCGAGGCCGGATTCGCGCCGGTACCCCCACCATACCCTACAGGCCGCGGCCGTGACAAGCACCCCGACCCGCTCCTCGCTTTAACGAGTACCTCAAGGGTCCTAGGCGCAGCCGCACCCCATCCGCGGTTCCCCGAATCTTGTACGACCGGCTCCACCACCACGCCCCTAAATCAAATGAGTCCGTGAACAATAGCAAAAAACAACAAATAGCAATAAAGTAAACTAACATATATGAAAGGAAAAAATCATAAACATGGAGCGAAAACCACCTGTACCCTACCGGCCTCGTAGGCCGGGTCCATAGCCGCACCTACCAACAAAACCAAGGGGGGACAGCCCCACCGGGCCCTCAACCCCCTCAACTCTCCTTGACGCTCCGCCGCTGCTGTGCCGACGCTCGCCGCCTCGATCCCTGTATCTTCGTGGCAATAGTTCGACGTCGTAACCTATAGGGCTAAGCCCAAGCCTGAGATAGTTGGGTGTGGATTTCCATATGGAGTGATGCCGCGCCGTGCCTAGGCCTGGGAAAAACAACCTGGGCCCTCTCTTTCCTTCCTACAACCGGCGTGCCAACACTAGGCACCCGCGCCAACCTGCTTGGACCGCGTCGTGGCCATCCCACGCGTCTATCGGCGTGCCAGCCCTACTGTAGGTCGCACGTGCCGCCCAGGAACCGGACTTTTACCCCTTAATCGAGCCCGTAACACGGTCCAGGTAGGTCGGCTAGACCGACCGCCTACTCAATCAGAAAAATCACACGCGCGCCTTAATATTGCGCGCCCATACACCCACTAGCTTAACCAGGGCGGGTCCCGGACGCGGTCGTGCCTCGCACGACTTATTTCAATCAAACCGATTGTCCTGTCATTTGCAAAAACCAGGGCGGATACCCTTGTAAGGGTATTCGCGCCGACAGCCTACCGGACTATTATTAAGCGACGTCCCCGTCGCTACGTCAAATCAAAAGGCTACAAGCTCACTCACACTCCAAATGCTGACGAGAATGGAACCAATCCGATTAGCCGATAGGCTCAGGGTTGAGGCCCCCAACAATTATGTGCCAACATAACTATATGCCGTCGGGGTTTCAACCTGGGTTTCCAGTGTCCTGACATTAGGATGCCGGTGTATTACGCATCGATACTACAACATAAGTTCCAAAGGCCACCTCAAACCGTCCTCTTCCCTTTGTCCTAGACAAACGCCCGCTTCTCGTTGAGTGTCCCCGTTAGACTCTCTCTCGTAAGCAGAGTCCCACGGGGACGCGGGCCTTAGACGAGACCTCAGAAGGCACTCTCGCCTCCCTCGTGAAAATCCTCACAATCAAACATATATATATATATATATATATATATATATACACATATATACATAATTCTCCTCCCAGCTCCTTCTGCAGTCTAGTACAAAAATGCTAGGTCTCGATCCTGGCCCACCATAGCCTGGTCAATCGAGCCAGATCTACGACCTACCGCATTGTTATTTTAGCGGCAGTCCCTTCGTTGGTTATGCAACGATAGTTTTTCTCCTGATAAGCATTCAATCAGGGCGCTCGAACAACTCGACCGTATCCCCCGCCATCCCGCCGAAGTAATTTCCCTGAGGCGTGCATAACCCCTTAAACTCTTACTCCGTGGGTAGACGCGGGCCCGCAATCAGGTTGTACTGGCTTGCAGCCATCCAATAGGGGTTGCACCCTAGAGGTGCTAACCTTTACCGTTTAGCTTGGTATTCCCTAATATGCCTTAGGATTAACACAGGTGTCTAGGCGGTGCGTCGCAAAACAAACTCACAGGGCCACTGCGGGACAACGCAGGGATCTGCCTTACTTTTAAGGGTATTTACCAGCCCCCTATGGGACAACATAGAGGGCATGGCCCCTTTTCACAATCACAAACAATTTCACCGCTGGGCTCACACGAGGCCGTGGCCTATTGACTTGATCAGAGACAGCAGACCACACATCCCACGACATCTTTATGCACTGACTTGCGACCTTCTCAGTTCCACCAATGATTCCAACTCGTAACCCTGGTTCCTCTTGTCAGACTTTATCATTCAAGCATTTCTTACCATGTCCTTAAATCTACCACCCATTTTTCACATGAAGGGGGTCTCTCTCAACAGGTCTCCCAACCACCCCTCTCTTTACAGGATGGACTATCACGCGACCTGGGTTACACTGTCGTCAATAAACAACATCCCCACCTTCCATAATCTGAGGGGATCTCAATTATAGAACAACTCAACTGAGGGGCCTTCTTATGGGCTGTCTCCCCAACTTAAACGCAAAACAACTCAAACTAAGGGGCCAACTTATGGGTCCCCTCCACAGCTCAGCCATAAACATTCGGCATGGTAAGCATCCGAGCCTAATAGGCTCGCAAGACCCCTCAGGGTCCTCATACGTCCGTCACAAAAACGACCGCACTGCCTCCTCTTATACCCGGTCGTTCCGCCCACCCATGGGCAGGCCGCACGAGTATACCGAAGAGTAGACGGCAATCACAATCACACAATACACATACATGAGATGTATCCCACACATCTCTCACACAAAACCCTCATTCATTGGGATAAAGCCACATGTGTGAGAGTGGTCGTGATAATCACAAGAATAAGTCCCACAGAGTCTGGAATCAAAGATATACTCGGGAGCAAAATATCTCCCTCAAGTCTCAATACGACACTCAACTCAAACCCTCAACACACAACTCGTAGGGTGTATTTGGGAACAAAATGCCTGCCCCGAAAACACTCAAATACTCACTCCATTGTCTCACTCCGCAGGATAAACTCACGTCCCAAGTGTCATGGACTCTCCGAACCTACTCAAAGATACAAGTAAGAGTATCCGAATCACACAACTGAAAATGCAAATCACGTATGTCGTAGATATCATACAACTAAGTCTCATCCCCTAGACCGTATCACACATAAAGCTCAAGCCGATCACACACCGCCACCTATGTATATACAACTAGACGGGACTCGCCTGACTAACTCAKAGTATGTACACYCCTATCACRGCCTYTGMGTACAGAGGAKCTCTAATCCTACTGTSATATAGAYGGACCAGTCCCTACTCACTCATAGCCTTCTGGTTCTATCTATATAACTGTGCCCTACCCCCATCTGGAGCCCGCTCTACCACTCGCCCCTGCCTGTCGTACATTCTCCCACCACTCTCTGTTACTCTCCCAGCCGCCTTGTCCTTAAGGAACTTCAGGCATTCAAGTGCTCTATGTACGCCGTCCTTGCGGAAGAAGCACTGATCGTCTGATCTCCCTCGACACCTCCTCTTCTTCTTCTGGGACCCAGGCCGCGGCGGCGTCTCGCTAGTTTCCTTGCTCATCTCATGGCTCTGCGGCATACTCCATGACTCTGCTGGCCCCACCTCCATCATCTGGGTACTCGGCCCTGCTAGCGCCTCACCTCCCTCGGGTCGGTACGCCGGAGTGTCCAATCTCAGTGGCCTACCCTCGCGGACTCCTCCCCTCGCAGTCGCCCCCTCGTCCCTATGCAGGTCGGAAGGCTGGGGAGTCACGACAGTCACTGACTCGCTCATAACTTCCTGCTGCTGCTCTGAGATGTGCTCTCCTAAGTCAGCTCCAGTAGCCCAAGAGCCTAACTGCGTCCTCAGCTCCCCTATCTCTGGCACACGCTCTGATGTCTTCTGTCTCTGAGGCTCTCCTGACGGCATGTCCAACTCCATAACTGCCACTAACTCATCCAGTCGAGACGCCTCTCCCCCCATTGCCTCCGGCTCAGTGGATGCTGCTGCTCCCGTAAGGGCACCCTTCTGCATCTCCAAAAGGATCGTAGAGGACTCCTCTGTGGGGCCCCTTCCTCCACTGGAGGTTGGGGTCCCTGCGCCGGCTCGCCCTCAGGGATCTCAATCATCATAGGGGTGGCCTGTTGCGAGGCCAACTCCGTGGGCGTCCTGAAGCTGAACCTCCCCTCCTCGGCCTCCCGCCGTGCTGCCGCCTCTATTGGGTCCAGAAATACCTTCCCCATCCCTCCTTGCTGAGGTGGCTCTGTCGTCCCTTCCTGGCCAAAGAGCCCCTGTACCTCCTCCCCCTGGATACTATACCGGCTTTGCTCCGTCCAGTCGACCACCTTAGTGGCCGAGAGCCTCTCCACCATCGCCGCCATGTCCTGGAGCCTCTTCTCCCATTCCGCTTCCTTAACTTCTATACGGGACCTCCATGCTTGATTCTCTGCCATCTCTTCTGCCAATTGGGTGGACAACTGTCCCACCTCTAACCTCGAGGCCGCCAACTCATCGCTGAGCATGGAGTACCGTTGGAAGGACGAGACCGCCACCTCACCTATCCTCCTATCTGCACGCTCAATCTCCATCCTGGCGGCTGAAAATCCCAAGTCCTCTGTCTCTCGTGCCTCGTCCAATCTTGCACTCCCCTGTCCTACCTCTCGCGACCTCAGGCGAGCCGCATCCCTCTCGCTCTCATAGCTAGCCCAAGCCTCACTAATCCTCTGCTCGCTCGTCGGAGGGTCAATTGGCGGCTTTGGCGCTTCTCCTGCGGCCTCCATCCTAAGCTTTTCCTGGTATAGCTCTTCGAGGTGTACCTGCACCCTCGCGCACTTCTCTTCTTTCGTCTCCCCCGGTGGCTTCCCTGTCCTCGCCTCGTGACCCTCTCGCAGTGGATCTCTCTCACTTGTCCCCTCCTCTGCGGGTGGCGGCCCTGACGGAGGCTCCTCGGATGCCGGCACCTCCACATCCATGCGTGCACCTGTAGACTCAGTTAGTTGCGGTGCCACAGTAGTAGGTGTCCTCGCCCTCTCGCCCCCCTCTGGCTCCACCTGTGTCGGGGGTGGCGTAGTAGCTTCCGGTGGGGGTCCCAACATCTCCTCGCTGTCCGGCTCAAGAATTCCTTCAAGCCAATACTGTCGCGCCTGTTCTGGAATCGGGGTAGGAGGAGGGGTATCATCCCCAACAGTGATAACCCCCTCAGTCTGCAGCTCCTCGGGTTCGCGAGACCTCGCCTTAGGCCCCGGCTCAGGTGGCTCCTCCTCTGGCTCATCCTCTATTAGCTCATACCGTGCCGGTCCGCTGTGGTCCGCTCCCAGCTGTGACGCCCCCCACTGGGACGCATCGAGATGAGCCTCCAACCTGTCGAGCGGCGTCCTCAATGACACCGCCTCTCCCCCCTCTGGTATCGTCGGCGACGGGCCCCGTAGATCACTGCCCGTGATTCGGCGAAACTCCACCTGCTCGAGTCCATAAGTAGGGGGTAGCTCCACCGCCCGAGCTGGCCCCGCGGCCTGAACTGGCTCCATCGCCTGGGCGGCCTCTGCCGGCCCCTCTCACTGTGCTAAGGCCTTTCGGCCCCCTCTGGTCGTAGTGGTCCCTCTCGCCTCTGGGCCCCGTGGCCTCTTACTCCTCTGTTGTCTCTCCACCCTGGGCTCTGGTCTCTCGGGCTCCAATCGTCGAAATGCCTGTCTCAACTGGGTCTGGCAGTCCTCCCAGTCGCGTGCCCTGTCCCGGATCTGCCTCGCCAATGACCTCTCCGCCCTCCACGTCCAGAGGGGCAGCATCTGCATCCACTCCTCCTGCCCAGTCCCCTGGTCGCGCATATACTGCTCATAGGCCAGGATGAACTCCTCCGCATTGCCTTCCTCCAATCGAATAGGCAATCCATCCGGTCCCATTGGCGAAGCCCTCAACATCTGCATCCTCGCCTCCACATCCTGCCAGGTCAAAGCCTCCTCCCGAATGTGCGCCATAGGCTCCTCAAAACACCCAATTCCCCTTAGGTGTCGTATCCTCTCCAAGGCAAACCAGCCCTCCCGTGTCGCATGTGCCTGGTAGGAGTCCAAAAAAAGCTCTATGTTACCATCGTCGAAGATAGGCGTGGACTCCCTCCCAACCGGTCTGCGCGAGTCATCCCCTCCTGATGCTCCCTGAGGCCTCTATCGTGGCCGCGCGCCCCTCCCGCCCCTCTGCATGGCTGTCTTCGAAAAGTCAGACCTGCACAACAGGCGAGAGAAAGCAAGCAGGCACACAACAAGATTAGCCATCGGTTCATCAAGTTTTTATGACAACACACATGCCTTTTCCTACTCTCTCCCTTGTCCTGACCATAACATGCGATACCTCAAGGACCAGTCTACTCTGAGGAGGGTAGAATTCTTTACCTATTCCCTGGCCACGAACTTCTTCAGCCTAGTCCCTGATACCCAATCCTGCCAGCCTGTCCCGTCCAGCTCCTCGATCTGATAGGCCCCAAATTTGCCGCATCGCAATATTCTATAGGGGCCCTACCATCTCTTGTCAAGCTTCCTCGACCATAGCTTTTCCAAAGAGGAGTCGTATAATAATACGACATCCCCTACTGACAATGGCTCCTTTCTTACTCGTGCCATCTGGTCCCACCTCATCTTATCTTCCATGCGACTCCTTTCCACCTGACCAACGACCTCTCGCAATCTTTCTTCGGCCGCCCACACTTGTCACGCCCGAATATCGAGCAGTTCTTCGAAAGACAGGTTTACCTCCAAGTCCTGGCGCCTCCACGTCTTCATAAAGCTTTCTATGGGAAAGGTGGCATGCCTCCCGTACCATAGCGTGGCTGACGCGTACTTGGTAGTCCTCTTTACAATAACATTCTCCACGAAAAAAGCTGCCCGTAGGAACTTCGGCCACTGACCAGGCTTGCCCTCTGTCCACTTAGCCAGGAGATTCGTGATGGTACTGTGTCCTCTCTCCACAGGAGCGTTCGCTTGAGGGTGTGCGGCCGTAGTATAGTTGGCCACTACGCCATACCCTGCAAGCAACGTCCTCACCTCATTGCAGATAAACTCTGATCCTTGATCCATCACGAACTCCCTGACAAAAGGGTATCACAGGTAATACTCCTCGATGCAGTTCGCCAAAACCGGGCCAGTCTTCGTCCGGATAGCTCGTCCGTCCACAAACCCAGTAAGGTTATCCCGTGCATCGAAGATGTAGTTACACCCATCCTCCCCTGTTGGCATGAATAACAGGTCCAGGTGTACGACCGCACCCACTTCCCTTTCTAACCTTGGGTGTAGGGGTTCTCCTGGCCTTTGCGCTGACCTCTCTTGGCAAGGTATACAAAACCGGTAGTATTTGATAACCATCGTCAGCATCCCGTCCCAATCGTAGAGCTCGCTTATCTTCCCGCATGTGGCACCTACTCCTCTGTGCCCCCCTGCTATACCATCATGTAGGGCCGCTATGATATCAATTTGCCGGTTTCTCCCACATACAATCCTCTTGGGGTTCCCGACCTGCCGCTTTATAAACAAGTGGCCGTCTCTTACCACATAGAGGTGCCTCATCTTCTGTGCCTTGGCACTTGCATCTCTATCCCTCATCTCACATGATAGGAGCAACCCCAATTCCCGGTAGATCCCATCGTACTCCTCCGCCCGAAACGCCTCCTTGATTTCTCCTTCCTCGAATTCGTCGTCTCGGCTTTCAGGAACCAGAATCTCATTCTCCTCGTGACAAAACGAGCCCTTCCGGTCGAAGTCTCCCTGCAGGAGCGTATTGGTGAGCAGGTACATCCCTCCCATTAGCTGCTCATGCTCCTCTACCTGAGTGGGGCCTTCCTCTATTGTCCTCACTTCCTCCACCAGACTGTGCGTACCTGCCAACGCCAACTTCATCATCCAACCAACATCCTTACTTCCCCACGGATCCTCCTCCTGAAAGGGCTTGAGGACTAACTCTTCCTTCTGCTCGTACCCCTTTGGTGCCAGCCATATGGGGTGACTGACGCAACTGGGCACTCGCAGGGACCACTCGTTTATGTGCAGGCGGACGTCCTTCTCTTGATCCAAAAACCCATCAACTGGCGGCGTGTCTTCTATCGATTCCTTGTCCGATCCGTCCCAGTAGATGCGGCTTAACCCATCTGCCTTGTTCTTGTTCCCTGGGATCCTTTCCAGCTCGAAATAAAACATCCAAATGTAGGTCAACCATCTTGCGACGGTTGGGTCAGATGGAGTATAATTCTTCAGGGAACATGCCAGTGCAGTAGGGTCCACCCTCAAGATGAGCCTCCTGCCAAAAACATAGTTCCGAAAGGTCCTTAGGCAATGAAGTACCGCCAGTGTCTCCTTCTTGAACTGAGAGTAGTTCCTCTCAGTTGTATTGAGGGTACGACTCTCGAATCTTAGCGGCCTCTCCTTCTCCTCATTATCTGCCTGAATCAGGATTCCTCCCAAGGCAGTTGGCCCAGCATCCGTCTCAATGACGAATGGTCTTTCCTCCGTGGCCTCATAGTTTGGCGCTCCCAATACCAAGCCTCCTTCCTTAAACTCTCCCTTCATCCTACCGACCGCCTCTTCCCGGTCTTCGCCCCAAACCCATTCTTGATCCTGGCGTACCAACTTCCTTAAATGCTCCGTCTTCGTGGCAAAGTCCTTCACGAAGCTCCTCCGAAATCCGCACGTCCCAAGGAAGCTCCTCACATCTGTTATCGAGCGGAAGGGCACCGGCCACTCAAGAATCTTGTCTGTCTTCTTTACATCAGGCCTTCGCCCACTCTCATTACAGACAAAGCCTAGAATCGTGGCCCCCCTCATACAATGTTTCGACTTGGGGCCGCTCGCTGTCAGGTTATGTTCCTCCAAAAACCCCAGAACCTGATCGATGTCTTGGACATGCTTCCAGACAAAGCGCCGCACACCGGGCATCACTTCGTTTTCCTCCTTCTCCTTCGGACCTTTGACCGCCAGATCATCAATATACGGCTGAGTGATATGTGGGCTGACCGTCTGCATGACTCTGATCATATGCCTTTGCACCATCGCCACTGCATTCGTCCAACCTTGGGGCGCCACGTTCATATGAATCAGCCCTCTGGGAGTGTGCATTGCCGTTATGGGCCTGTCTGGCGGGTATACGGGGAATTGGTCATACCCCGAATAGAGGTCTATAAGCGAGATTATAGGCATCCCTGCGCACGATTCTGACAATGCGTTCGCGTTCGGCAATCCTCCCGCGTCCCGCACTGTCACCTCATTTAGCCGTTGCAAGTCCTGCACCCACCTTAGCGTCACATTTGGATTAATAAAATAAAACCAAAGCGACGCGTACGGCCCACTGGAATAATCGGCCACGTGCGTCCGCATCTTGCCGTCCAGGTAGTCCACCGCCATCTTTTCCTCGTCCGGATTGGGGTACCGCGCGCCCTTTAGATTCCATGGCTCATGTGGGACCGTGTGGATCCTGATTATCGGGATCTTGTCCACATCCAGCCTCCCACGCTCGTCGTCGTTGAATGCATACGCGCGGTGCCTTTTCTTCATCAGCCCTACCATCAACGCTCTCTCCTGGGGCGACAGAAAATCGGGCTCCCCAATTATCAGCTTCCCCTCATTTTCGTCGTTGATACGACACGGCCCGGCCAACGCGTGCTCCCGCATACGCCGTATCAACCCTCGCTCCCGCTCGTAGTAGGCTTCCACATCCTCTGTGACGGGCACGGGAACTGGGCGACACTTCTTATCTATGGTCTTGTACCGCCTTTGGGAACCCTGCTTAAGCCGTCCCCTAAAAAAGGCCGACTTGTCGCTCGGGCCTGGGCCATCGCAGGGCCTCCCCTCCCTCCCGGAAGCCGATACACCAACTCCACCTCCCCCACCTGAGGGTTCTCCAAAACCTGTTCCCTCAATGCCTTAATGGCCTCCGGATCCGCCATGTCGTGAGTCGATACCACCTCCATGGCCTTATTCACATCCGTGAGGCTCAATGTCAACACCTCAGCCCTATCTTCCTCCTCGAGCACTTCCCAAAGCCGTCTCCACTCGTTCTCTGATTCCTCAAAGGTGAACGAGCCTAGATTGGGCCTATTCCTCCCGCTCCCCGGCCCCGTGTTCCGATAGGTGATAACTTCATAATTCCCACACGCCGGGTCGCACAGGAGCAGGATCATCGTTCCGTCGTCCTTGTTGAAGATCAACATTTCCGTCCGGCACAGGAACGACCGCCCCAGAAGGATGGGGTGATCGACATCGGGCATAACGAAAAAGCAAGTCCTGGCTCACACCTTCCCAATCTCTATAATCACATTTGACGCTGTGCCGCAAAAAGCGGCCTTGCAGTTAGCGCCGTGCAGCATGCCATGGTCCGAGCGGTCGATCTCCATGCCTATCATCACCGCCTCCTTTTCCCTGATGATGTTCATCTCTGCGCCCGTGTCCACCATCCCAGTACACTTCTGGTTCCTTATCACCAAATCCACCTGCTCGCACGCCACGCATTTCCAATCCATCCTTGTCCCTGCCTCAGTCCACTCCACCTCTCTAGGCAGTACCGTACTCAGATGGACATTTGGCACCAGCCTTCGCGACAGTCGTCCCTTCAACTCACCACGAAGCCTTGGCGCCGTTGCCAGGATGTCCTTTAGGTTCATCAAGTTATTATGGTCTTCCAGGAGTTTGTCCACCATCCGCTCCACATCAAAGCCTTCCTCCATCCGGACCGCGTACTTCTTCCTCTTAGGCACACTGTTGGGCAGGCTTGGCTCGGCCTCCTCCTGGGCCCCCCTCTTTTTGGCCCTCAGCTCCGCCCGCTGATCCTCCTCTTGTCGGAGCCTCTCATCCTCTTCATCGTCATCCTCTTCCTCTTCCTCCGGAACCTCCACCACCTCCTTCCTACGTCCAGGCTCCGGCTCCTTTCGGGGGGGTGCCTGACTGGGCGCCTGACTGGGCTGTTGACTAGGCCCAGCCTTATTTTGGCTCCTGGTCCGAGCCGCCTGCGGCACCCTTCCATGCGACGTGGGGGGTCTATAGGTCATACTTGACCTAGGGCCCGTCCCTACAGTCGCCACTCTTGGGCACCCTTGTTGTCCTGACGAAGGCTCTTGTCCGGAGTCATAAAGGAAGACCTCAAGCAGGTTGGCCTCCCACTCTCGGGCTTCTTCACACAGGGCTTGCAGCTTCCGCTGGTATCTCCCCACCTTTTCGAGCAGATCTTCCATCCTTCCCAGGAGGAGTATGGCCGACTCTCCCTCGCCTTCCTGCCCCTCCTCGTCCGACTCGATGACTATTGGCTCCTCTCTTATAGTCCCCGCCTTTAGTCGCTGAGTGACCTCCTCGCTATCTCCCACAATCTCCTCAACTTTTATGGCCAACTCTCCTTTCTCCTGCCACATCCTGAACATGGCCGGGGTTGCCGATGGCCCTGCCGCCGCTCGCCTAAGAGCTTCTTGACTGATTTCTCCCGGGGTCCTGGGGTCGATATGCTCTCCCCACTTATCATATATATCCCCGTCCATATAAGAGGAAATTAGACCTGCCACTCATCATCTCGCCGCCATTGGCAGAACCGTATAGTGTGGCCCACCTCGCTACAATGCCAGCAGGTGGCGTTTCGCCAATCAAAGTGGGGCCTCCCATACCCTTGGCCTCCCTCTTGGCCACCTCGGCCACCTTGGTTCTGACCCCTCTGACCATTCCAACCACCCCCGCGACCCCCACCATTTCCTCCTCTGCCTCGGCCGCCACCTCCTCGACCCCCTTGACCTCGGCCTCCATTGCCTTGTCCGCCTTGTCCTTGGTTTCCTCCACCGGCCACACTGACCTGCGAGGTCTGTTGGGAGGGAGGTGGTTGGGCCGCCGCAGGGTAGTTCGGGGGCCCCATACTTGCCGCTGGGCCCGCATAAGGGACCATTTGCCTGGGCTGAGTTTGACTACCCCCGCACGAGGGGCAGTGATTACAACTGGGCCAGGATGCAAGCTGACAATGTGGCACCCAGTGCCCACAAGCCGGCGGCGGCCCGATACATGACGGCCCGGCCGTCGCTGACGTTGTCGGGGCAGCAGGTGGCGACGCAGCAATCACTTGCGGGACCTGCCCTTTTCCGGATCCTTGACCTCCCACTTGTAAATTTCGCTGCTTCCTCTGGGCCTTGGTTAGGATCTGGGAGCACGTCTCTTCTCCGCCATAGTCCTCGCGCCTAGCCTCCTCTTCCACTGCCCCCGACGCCCGGCCTTAGGCCACGGTCACTCCCCTCTTTTGCACTTCTGCCTCATTATCGTACCCCAGCGCTGCCAATACATCCGTGATGATCCTCTTCACCCCTGGGGTCCCGGACTTGGTGGCGTCCCTTTCCTTTCTCTTGCGCTGTTGCAGCCGCACCTGGTGCTGCTCCACTTGGTCCAGGCTCCCCTCTTCCACCCCTTTGTCGATAGTGGCCCAGGTGAGTTTTTCATTTCCCCCTCCGTGACCCGTCAGCTCCGAGGCCTCCAAGCCAGTAAGCAGACCCAAAAATATGGCACACTGCGTTTCTTCGGAGACCCCGTGCGCCTTCCTCGCCTTCCTTTTAAACTCGTGCACAAAAGCCCCAATCGTGGAGAAGTCATCCTCGTTCATGACCTCCAAATCCGCCATGGTTAGCAAGCCATCCCCCAACCTGTACTTTCTCTGCATCATGTCCCTGAACCTTGCCCAACTACCATTGGCGGCATCCACGACCTTGCCCACTTCCTGATGGTGGCTATGAAGGACATATCTTAGGACTCGCTGGAGCTTGACCTCGTCCGACAACCCTACAAGTGGTTGCTCCATCAGATCCAGCCAGTCGGACACCGTTCTCCCTTGAAGTGGAAAGTATCAACCTTCGGGACATTGCTCGGCTCTCTCTCGCGCTTATCCATTGCATCGATGAGGTCGTCGAGCGTTACAAGTTTTCTTCCACCGTCCGCCATCTCCTCAGGCATTTTGATTAACTGCCTTCGGCTTCAATCCTCCTGTTATAAGAAACGATAGGACGAAAGGTTCCACTCAGTAGTCCATTCCTTCACGATCCTATCGGACCGACCCCTTAAGCACCCGACGCTCTAAACCTGGCAGACATCTCTCTCTCTACTTCCTACTTCCCTTGGGTTCACCTAAGTAAGMCCCATTCTCATCACAGAATTCACTCACATACTCACCTCGTTCATGCCATCAGCCAAGCCACCAATCAGATCAACATTCACACCCACACTGCCATATAGATTACTATACGATTCATCTCATAGTTCTTCTCTTATTTGCTCACGTGCCTAGTTCTCTCTCATTCTCATACCCGGATGTCGTTCCACCAGGGACAACGGTAGGCTTCCGTCATCCCCGGCAACGACGCCACCTGTCGAGCGCATCGGTCCGGCACCGCACGTGGCAGCGCGGGACCCTCTCGGCCGCATCACGCAGGAGTTGGATCAACCTCGTCGCTAACACACAAATGGAGCTTCCTTAGGCCCACGTGCCGCTTCACGTTACCAAGACCCCAAGTTTACTGGCCGTGTCTCGCTCGTGATCTCGCCGCCTGACCCATTACTCTTTTAGTGCGAGATGCGACGAGTGCCGCGCGCGAACTTAGTATAAGATCGCGAGGGCGCTGGACTTACACATACTATCTCGCTACGTTGTTCTACGCGAGTAACCGCGATGACGGCGCATTGTGTAGTGCCCACACCCAAATGACCTACTTTGAGCCAAGGGGTCCCCTTTCGACGCTCAGACGTTGGCTGAAGCGCGAGCCAATGGGGGTAACCCTTTAGCGCACGCAAAACCGGCCTGAGGGCCTTTCCGTCTTCTGCACCCTGAGGTGTCCCAACGGGTGCGGGGCAAGACGACCCCTAGGGCAAGAGGGAGTTTGGAGCGGTGGTGAGTTGTCTGGCGCATCACCAGCAACACGCTGACCCTTCCGCCTGGAACTTTATCGTTCCACCAAGATGAATCGCAACAAGGAAAAGAAACAAAAGTTGGCGAGGGATATCCCCCCCCCTTTCTATTCACCCCAACCTTTGACTGACCCTTAGTACGCGGGCACTTCAGGCCACGCTAACTCCACACGTAGGTACACATGCACTGGCACATATATATATATATATATATGCACAAGGGGGATAATTATGTGACGATCACTTCTCACAGCTATAGTGCGTCTCCTCCTAGCCATACATATATATGCGACCGCAAGGCAGCCCAACCAAACCCCAAGTCTTTGAACATACCTGCAATCACATCAAAAGTCAGACAAGAGTCCACGCACTACGCGGAGTCAACTCCAACCAGTTCCTATTCTCATACCCCTCGCTTTAGCCATGCAAACCCCAACCTCCAGCCAACCAACCTCAATTAAATACTCAGTACCTTTGTTAAATGGCCATTCAATAAAAGTCCGGGTGAAACCCTTAACAAACAAAAAGATCACCRRGGCTAAAGCCKTTTAGGTTGAGTWTGGGGGGCGAGTAGRAATTGAGTCGTGARCCGACGAATCGGCAACCGACCTGTTATCAGTGATAACAGATGATGATCCTCGTAGGATCAAGCTGAACTAGCCCAAGTCCTGAATCGAATGTCCAAAAAATGTCTGTACCATAAGACAGGTCAATGCCCAAGTTAAATCATCAGCATACGGGGGATGACCCTCCATAGCACATTCTCACCCAAGTTAGCTACCAACTAAATCAAAATCTACCCCTAAGCCAGTGCCCAAGCAAAGGTAGACTAACGGCAGGATCTCCCCTGTTCAGGGTGGATCGCCAGAATCGCCATCTGTCATAATATAATCTAACTCCTCTAAATCAAGAAAATTTCGGCAGCGCTTCTCGTAGGAAAAGTGTCTTTTCAGAATTTATATCAACCCGAATATGAGAGCAGAGATAGTTTTTGACTTTCCAAAGTCCAATTTTATCTAACTCCCTGAATTAGCAAAAATTTGGGCAGCACTCCCTTTAGAAAAGGATACTTTCCAGATTTTTACTAAGCCATACATGAACTTTAGACATGTTGAACTTTGAAAAGTTAAGAATTGACTAACTCCCCAGATTTGTAGAAATTTCGGCAGCGCTTCCCGTAGAGAAAGTGGCTTACCAAAATTTATACAAAGCCAAGTATAACAAAAGATCCCAGAAAATACGAGAATCGATCTAAGTAAAAAACTTAGCTCAGAAAATGCAGGAATTGACCTAACTCCTATCGCTCTAGCACAAGGCGAACCTCTAAAGCAACTACCTGTCAACTTGACACTCAAATCAAGTAGTAGTCCCACTCAGCCTCATGCAGGCAAAACCACAAAGGTAAGTACTCTCGTCACCCCAAGTCAGTCCTTGCAAACAATAGTTTGTAACCTCTCAATGCTTTATCCCCTTATACCCAGCTTACATAGGACATAAATTCAAACCGTTCAATCTTATGAAACTTGTCTAACTCAGTCATTGAGTATACACGAACAGGTTGCACAACTACTTCTCTCTTCTTTTTGGGCATACGACTAGGCCGTCCATCTTAGAACAAGGCTTAGTCGCCCAGAACTGTTTTATATCCAACTTATATATACCTCTTTGAGCTTGGTATTTAAAAACTGGGCATAGGACCGAGCCGTTCATCTTAGAACAAGGCCCAGCCTGCCCAGGGTTACCTTCAATTATACTCTTAGTTATACTATCTTAATTTCATGATAAGCTATAGCCAGACCGTTTAATCTTATGAAACCCATGCCTAGCTAGCCTGTTCATAAATAGGATAGTATAAAATATAGCCAAATTTTAGTCTTTTGGGTTCCAGCATGTGCGAGGCATTGGGCCAGACCGTCCAATCTTATGGAACTGGTCTGGTCCTCTGCCAGGTTCATTTCTCTCTGACCCAATAGTGTACAGCATGAGTCCAAGGCCGTTCAATCTTACGGACATGCCCTGCTCTCAGCAAGGATTATCCCCTCAGAATAAAACAAGAGGGGGGCTGAGCTGTCCAATCTTATGGACTTGCTCAGACCTCCTCGATCAGAAACAAAAGGAACAGAACAAACCCCAATCAAACATGGCAACCAAACCCTCCAATCTTATGGTACAGGTTTGGCCCCTGAAAGGTCAGCCACAGTCAAACCCTCACAATTCAGAGCAATCAGACCGTCCAATCTTATGGAACTGGTCTGACTCTCCATGCAATTCAAAAATAAAACACAGCGGTGAGGCCGTCTTATCTTATGGAACTGGTCTGACCCCATAGGACCCATTCACGCTTAGGCAAAACCACCTTTCACCCACCCTTCCCCCAGATACAACCCTTTGTGTTCACAATCTGCCTTCAAACAATCAACAAAAACCGAAACTGAGATTGCGCACACACTTCTTCACTTAATCTAAGTTGTGTCCTGTCAGTCAAACCAAAGCCAAAGTAGGGGTGCATGCAGTACACTCAGTCAAACATAGCAAGACGTACATGTAGGGGTTATGTCAAGGTATATAGAGGGAAAGGGATGATTACCTCTCAATTCCCTGCCTCCAGAGCCTCGCCTAGACTCCGGCAGAGCTCCTGCAA